CCCTCCATGTCCCCAAGAGAGAAATTATTTATTTATCTGTTTATTGGTTTAAAGACAGCAAAACAAGCTTGGAGGAAAGAAAGCTGGCTTTAGGCAGGAGTAAAAAAAAGTGGCACTGGGTTTGTTTTTGTTTTTGTTTTCTTTTTTTAAATTATTATGATCATGATTATTATTACAATATTACTGCTAATTATTTATTCTTTTTGTATGGGTTCCAAGTTGAATGATCTCATAACTAATATTTGTTGTAACAGTGAAAGTTGTTTGCCAACAAATAAATTACTGACATAGCTTTGTGCTTTTCTGCCTCTTGAGTGTTTTCAGTTATTATATTCAAATTAAATACAAACACAGAGTTAAGCCTGCCAGTATTTTCACCTCAAACATGTTTTTTGTGAGTTGTTTTTTTTTTTTTTTTTGCTCATTTTGGGAGACTATAGCGAGTCTATAGACATTTTGCTACAGCGATTCCTGTTTGGTTCTGGGATGAATTCCTGCTTCTTCTTTTCTGTGAATCTGTCAAAACAGCTCATGTGTTTGGAGTGTCTTAACAGAATGTGTGGGAAGGCAAAAGTTAACAGAGTCATATTAAGAATTTTATTTTGGAGACATTTTCACTGGCAGGTGTACAGCATATGAATTTTACCTATTCTATACACATGGAGGACTGACCCACAGGTCAAGGGATGAGAAAAATAGTTTTGCTAAAACCACCTGAGCAACATTAAAACAACCCCTAAATCGCTTAAGTCCAGAGGAGATTGATGAGTGTGGAAAAGACAGTTTTTAATACTTGAATATGTGCTCTTAAGATTCTTCGTCCCAAACAGTGTCACATTTGCAAATTTATTAACGCCACAACAGAAGGACACTAGAAGGGAGCAAAAACATGCAGGTCTCAAATTATGTGCTTCTGTTTGTTTACTTGCACACCTGATTGTCACAAGATCTCTTTTTTCTTTCTTTTTTTTTTTACAATGACCTAAAGGTAAGTGAGCATATTGGTTTGAACTGCTGGTTTGGCAAACAATAGACGGTATTCATAGATGAGAGGCTGTTGTGGAATTTGTCTTTGCACTTGCAAGTTAAAATAACTGGAGTGTTAAGCACATGGCCAAGAGTGGGAGTTAGGAGAAACAAGGATTGAAGAAATTTGGCAAGAAAAGGTGAATGATACAAAAAAATATATAAATGAATAAATAAACACTTCTATCGATCCATGGATTACCTATACCTGCTTTATCCTGTGGAGGGTTGTGGGAGGCTGGAGCGTATCCCAGCTGGTATTGAGCGAGAGGCAGTATAGACGCTGGATCATTGCAGGGGTAACACAAAGAGACAGACAACTATGCATGCTCAGACTTACACCAATTTAGAATCAAAACTAGTCAGTTCAGTTTTATTTATATTGAGGAAAATCACCACAGAGGTCATCTAAGGGCACGTATTATACAGAGAAACCCAGCAGTCCTCCCTTGAGCTAGAACTTGGCAGCAGTGGGGGAGCAAAAACACTCTTATAACAAGTAGAAATTTTGAACAGAACCAAAAGTGAGAGGTTGTCTGACTCGACCTGTTGAGGTGAGAGAGAAAAGATGAGCAATAGGTAGATTCCGGTCACTCGGAGATCATGATTGTCCTTTGTGTTCTGCCCCAGGTGCAAGATGAAGATAACACAGGTGTCTTTCTCTTTCTGAAAGAATAGAATGGTCAGGCTGGATGGTGTGGTTCCAGCATCTAACATCAACATCTTACTGGAAATCCACACTGACAGTGAAGCCTAAGTGTTACTGAAGCATTCAATCTGCTCCAACTTCCACTTGGCATCGCTGTGCTCAGAAACAGTTGTCTGTCAGCATCACAGAGTAGCTGAAAGAAGAATGGTGGGGCTGGGGGGGGATTTTTACTTCAACTGGGTTATTAAAAGCAGAAATCATGTAGGCTCAGCAGGAAAAAATAAATCAGCAGTGTTTTTATGTATGCTTTCAATGATTTTCTTCTTCGCCTTTACAGGAGGTAGGAGAGAGTGTAACCAAGACGCCCACAGTGACACCAGGAATCTGACTAGTCATTACAGATGCCATTAAAAAGTTTACAAAATGTGCATAGCGGTATTTGTGCAATTTAGTCAACTGCATGTAGAGGCACTCTAAGTGGATTGGACTTTTAGGGTGGTCCATGTTCAGGAGCATTTCAGTGGTAGATCACCTGTCCAACAAAGACCCAGAGGAGTCGAGGGACAGATGTTAGATGAGACCACCTGGCCTCTCCTAGCTTGTTAAGACTTCAGTCAAGACACAGCAGAAGTTGATCTCTAGATTTTCACCTAGCTGTTGGCCAGGCTGGTTGACACCTGCTTCCAAAATTGCGGCAGCTGTTCGGTCCGTCTACCAAAACTCTGCCCAAAGGTGCAGCGTGTGGTCCTGCTACCAGCTGAAGCAATTTGTTCTTTCTGAACACATAATGTGCATCATGTACCCAAAAGACAACCCAGTCAGACAACAGACTACTTGGTTATCTTTTTCTAACTACTGCTACCAGACTTATTGGGAAAGTCCAGGTCTTAGCATTAAATTTTAAACGTTACACAACAGTCCATGGGGATATGTTCCTCTTTCTATGTGGTGTTTTCTTCCACATTTACAAAGGTCTACCAGGCTTGTTGTAGTCTAGTTGCTGAAACCTCCATGGCTATGCTTAATAGCAATCGCAATTCTTAATGATTCCCTGGTTGGACTGTGTTAAACTCCAGGTGATGGATGACTAGTAACTTTTCCAGACACTTTAGCCTCTGGAGGACAAGGTTGTGAAGCGTTTACATCCTCCACTTTGGCAAGTAGTGTCTTAAGTGGGCAATATCTTAGAAACATCTTGCCTTAAGTAGCACTGCTTACTTGCAGCAGTCTTTGTGGACTTTAAAGTGTGTATGTAGGGTACATTTGTGCAATGACCTAAAGGCCCACTTCTCTGCATTAATCTTATTTTAGAAACACACAAAAGTTTCTCTCTTTTGGCACATTCCTCTCAGTCTAAAGCGTCTCAACTTAAATATAAATCCCCATACGTAAGTAAGACGCCTGAGAGATATATCATTGCAAAACACATTGGCGGTGTCACCTTGTGTCACGTCATGTGTCACATTTCAGTTGTTGGTTAAAAAATCTTTATACACGGGGGAAAGCACAGTTGTGCATCCTGACATTGACACATGTTGTTTAAGTTAAGAGAGTTAAAGAGATGTCTTCAGCTCGATGCCACTCTGAGATCCACCTCCATCAAAACAGCAGATGCAGATGCACAATAAGTTTGCCTTACAAGGTTTATCTGTTGCCTAAACTCCACAGATCAGTTTCTCACACATACATTACACCTACATGGAAATCCTTATTTACATACTATCTATTAAGCAGGACACTAACGATGTCCAACCTTCAATCCATCAACTAGCATCCCTTTTTATTTATTAATTTAACAATTAAAACTCTAGTCCAAACTGCTGACATGGATTTAGTTGCGTGCAGAATACTAATAAGGTAGGTGTTCATGGCTCCGTTTTATTAAATATATTTTGTGAATCTGTGACAAGGCTGCCACACTATCTCTTTAGCAGTACACGAGCAGCAAACAAGAAGAACAACATTGCAACCTACACCCAGCATATCATTTCTCCCACACTGATGTCAGCTCGGGTTTCATAGCTGTACAGCATATTTTCAGATTTGAATTCAACCGAATACTGATAATGAAAAAGAAACAATTCATGTGCAGAATTTTTGATCATAACAAGAGCCAGACAGTTAATATCAGTGGTTGACCTACAATGCATTTCCATTATGTGTGGTGAAAAGAAAATGAAAAATGTGTTTGGCCTAGGATCAATATCAAAAGCTTGATGAAATGGCCGTATGCCCTTTTATTTGTAGCACTGCCACCACAAACGTTTCTTGTCACTCAGTTGGGTATAATCTCTGCACAGTATCTGTGTATTATTGAGGACTTTCGCCATGTTTTATCTGCTTTGATCATAGATTCGGTTTATGGAAAGGGAAATAAAAGAAAATAATAGAGCAACAGGAGTTGGAAAATAATGAGAAAAGGCAGGGACACCGACGAGAACGGAGGAGTAAAAAATATGAATAATAGTGTGAGGAAAGGAGTAAAAAAGAAGCATGGGAAGAGTTGATTTTTTTATGAATGTAGTTTAGTTTTCTTTAAAACTAACTGGAGCCACCTAACACTCGCACTCCCCCTGTTCCTCCCTCCCGCTCCCTCTTCCCTCTGCCAGCAGCAGGCTGATTAAACGAGCGTTGGGCTATGTGGGTCATATCTCTGTTGGAGTGCTCTGATCGGTTAGTGCTGCCTGGCTGTGTTATCTTCCTGCGCTCTCTGTTTCCCTCCTTCAAGGGAAGGTATTCAGTATGTCTTACAAGGTGACATGTCTCTCAGACTCAGCTCACAGACCAAAGGCAGAAGACTGCGAGGATGAGCAGTACAAATTAAAGGGAATCAATCTCTTTATGGTGTTTGTTTATGATTAATTAATGATTTCAGCTAGTTGCGGAGCTCTAAATATGGCAAGTGTAATGCACAGATTACTAAAACCTAAACAGAACAGTGATGAATCCTTCCTGGAAAGCTACTCATTG